CTTTGCAGCATTGCGCATTGTAAAATTTCGGCAACTATCTTTGAGGGCAGTCCGGAAATTTAAGAAATATTTGCGGAGCATCATCGTCATTCAGCATCGAATACCGAAAACGCCAACCTAAAACTGGGTAAGGACAACAAACAATGCTTCCCATGTTATATTTATATATACTATACTACTAATAAATGAGACACAAAAAACACTTTTTTGCATTTATGTTTTGATTATATCCCTTAAAGATCTTAGAATTATACATGCAATTTTTTTGCTACCAGAAAACACTAAGAAATGTGAAATTTTATTTTGTTTTATTTTTTTAAGTCGATAAAAAACGTACTTTTACAAAATAGGTATAGTGCTTTTTGCAAACCATGGGTCTGCAGGCATATAATAATGCTATGGTCTTGTATGTCATCTAGCTAACTCCATTTCCTTATATTTTTCTAGGTCTAGGACTCAAAATGTAATCTGCATGCGTGAGCGAAGCGTTAGTATGTGCTAGCAATGCTTTCCTACGCATATGAATGGTAAATAGACATCAAGATCATGTCTTAATGTGTCCGCTGTGTTCGCCTTGGGCAGGTTGTTCCAGGCACTGATTACTTGCTGTGGAAACGAATGGCTGCTGACGTCCAGATGGGATAAGGTTCCTCAGAGTTTGAGAGAATTCTTAAGAAGGTTAGTGGATGTGGTAAATTTGAAAAAGTCAACAAACTGCAGGGTACAGTCCCGATTCTTCACAAGCCGGTATGGCTGTATGAGATCTGTACTCAAGAGAAACCTTAAGCCCTTCATAACTGTTGCAGAGTTTGTTCGTCATAAGTGTTTCTTATGGATTGCCATAGTTTAATATCATCTGCAAACAGCACAACATTGCTGTCCAGTCCATGCCTTACGCCTTATCCTGAATTCGTCAACCTTGCAGAGTAGCCGAAGGCTTTTTTGAAGTCTGTGTAGACAACATCGACGTTAATATTCACGTCTACTGATCTGGACAACTGCTCCATTGAATAAAACAAATTGGTCAGGCAGGAGTGGTTTCCGCGAAATACGTGTTGGGTACAGTCAAATAAGTTTTTTTCTTAGAGAAGTTTCGTGGCGGCCGTTTTGGTCATGCTTTCCATAACTTTGCAACAAATGCCAATTAGACATTTTGGTCAATAGTTGTTCGTGCCGGTTCTGGATCCACTCCTGTAAATAGGATAAATGTGCGCAGGTTTCCACTCAGTAGACCTCGACCAAAGGAAAACTGGAAACTATGCGAAAACAGTCTCTATTTCACAGAAGGGGATGTGAGGAAGGCACTTCTTGCGCTTAACGAAACTAAGTGTCCGATTCCAGACCAAATACCGGCAAATGTACTGCAAGTGTTTGCTTCTCTAGGTGGTGACCGCTCACCGCGAAAAATGCCTGGTAACCGTCACCTATGTTTTGCTCTGTATTGATACTCACTGCAAGGGGACGTCGGTGTTTATTTGGTCTCACCGTGGCTGGTCTATAGTTCGCATCGCCCTCCCACGTCACACCTGTCTCCTGGATACGCGGGTCAACCGGACCACTAGATGACGGCCCCGAGTGTTCCACGCACTGATCGTCCCCTGATAATACAACATAGTGGGCCGGCAAATTTATGTGGCGCTTTAACGAAGCGTCGGTCGATATCCGGGTTTCTTTGATATGTCTTGAATTGTAATTGTCACTTCGGCCCACAAGTTCGAAGGCATCAAAGTAAAAGACGTGCCCCATCCCTGCAGCATGGGTTGCTACCTCCGACTTTGGGTCCAATCTTTGAACGGCCAGCTGATGCTCATGCATTCGCGTTTGTAGCTGCCGGCCGGTTTCTATAACGTAGTTGCATATCCCGGAACTGCCCTGAACACGGAAGACAACGTCAGATTTTTCTGGTTTGGCGACAAGGTCTTTTTTCTGCATTACTTGTTGCCGAATTTTGGCGGCAGGCCTGTGGGCCACTTCTATTCCGAGTGGTACGAGGGATCTATCTACGTTTTCAGAGATCCCTTTCATGTATGGGATGCTCCGGCACGACTTCGGTGGGCAACTTTCCTCGGTTCGCCTTTTGGTGGCATAGGATTTTGTTCAGTGAACGCTCGTGGATAGCCATTAGCTCTGAGAAACTCCCGGAGGAGCTTCACCTCCTCTCTTTTATAATAAT